TTTCTCCCATTTTACTTCTATCTTCCAGCATTCCTATTTCTCTCATTTTACTTCTAAACTTCTGTTTCTCTTATCCCTGCGGCTTCCCCGGCGGCGCCCCGCCCCGAGGCTGCTTCTCGGCACCTCGCCCCGCGGCAGCTTCACGGCTCTGCGCGGCTTCCCGGCGCCTCGCCCCGCCGGCGGGTTCCCGGCTCTGCGCGCACGCTCCGCGGTCTCCACGCACTTCGCGCCCGCACCACGGCCTTACGCCAGCCCCGCGTTCCCTATCTATTCACGCCCCGTGCTCTCTCTGCACGCGGCGGCTTCCGCGAATGTTTCCGCCACCACCGGCATTCAGTCCAAGTTCCCCGGACTAACCTGGCGAATTCCAACCTGGCGGCCCACGTCTCTGCCTCTGGTTCCAGATCTTCGCCTCTTGCTCCCCGGGGTGACTTGAAGAATTCCAAGGTGGCTTATATCTCCGCCTCGGCCTGCACTCGCGGCTTCATCCTCCCTAACATTTTTCTCTACCCGGTATGTTTCCTTAAGTTTTCTTCCAACAATATTCCTCTCATTTCTCCTGGCTACTCCCCACAGTCCGTATCCGAGTCCAAGTTTCTTCTAGGTTTCACTTTCACTTTCAACCTGCAGTCCGTATCTAAGTTTCTTCTTGCTTTCACTTTAAATCCTAACTTCTTTCCCACAGTCCATATCCGAGTCCAAGCCTCCTCCAGGTTTCACTTTCGCTTTCAATCTCCTAGCTTCCCCGCCATAGTCCGTATCTGAGTCTATGCCTAGGCTTTCAATAGCTTCTTCCGGCACCTTTTTCGTCCGGCTTTTCCCTAGGCTGTTTGCTAGTCTCTCTCTCTGATATTTTCCACTTCTTCCCTCCTAGGTTTCCTATCCGTCCTAGGTTTCCTATCCGAGTCATTTCTTCCCTCCTAAGTTTCCTAATCCGAGTCACGGCACCATTATGTCGCTCCCCCTCTTCGTGGAGGAACGACACAGGACCCTGCGCTGTTCTTTCGTCTGCTCGGCCCTCCCCGGGTTTGCTGCTGGTTCTTCCTGGGTTGGCTACTGTCCCTTCCACCTCCGTGGAAGGGCAGTTCCCCCTGCCACATTCCCCACTTCCGCAGGGGAGCGGCACACCGCCGGCCGGCTTTCTCGGGGGCTGCACGGGTGTTCCTTCAGCTAGATGTTCCCCTTAGATGTTCCTGGTGCATGTTGTCTCTCTCCTCCTTTATAGCCCTCCTCTGCCAATCCCAACTCGGCTGCCCACACGTCGAGTACGCTGCTCTCCTCCAATCAGGAGCAAGTCCTACAGTTTATTGGCTGAACTGGAGGCAGCTGCGTAGAAGCTGTTTTCTCCTCTCCCAGCGCCATATTGTGGGAGAGCAGATGCATAGAATAAGTCTTAATTCCAGTAACAGTCTAGTCCGAGTTGCTCCCCACAGTCTCCCATGTGGGTGCAGGGACCCAAGCACTTGAGCCATCTCCCACTGCTTTCCCAGGCCACAGCAGAGAGCTGGATCAGAAGAGGAGCAGGGGGGACTCCAACCAGTGCCCATATGGATGCTGGCGCCACAGGCGGAGGCTTAACCTGCTACATCACAGCACCAGCCCCAGGATTTCAAAATTTAAAAATCTTTACAAAATCAGGCTGACAAAGGAGTGGCTGGAAAGAGTACTTTGAGGGACAGGGGTGAGGCTACTGAAGCTGAGCCTTGAGGTGGAGAACCACAGACCCCTGCCGAGCTGGAGCTGTGGGAGGGAGGAGCAGCTGGGTCCAATGGAGTTGTTCTCGAAGCTTCGCCAAGGCCTGGGCCTCCTGCTCAGGACCCCTGAGATTCACATTTGGAATTTACAGAAACAGAGTGGGTTCTGATCCAGTTAAACAGCCCCTGCAGAGCCAGCCTGGAGAGGGCAATTACTGAACTTCTGAGCCGGCTGGCTTGTCATTGGAATTGGATTAAGGCAGCTGCGAAATACCAGCAATTATGGAGTGCAATTGGGAGACCCATCCCAACTTTCCCCTCCACCACTGGAAACCGCTCCACGTGTCAAGAGTCCCCATGGCCGGCCTTGTCATCTTCTAAAAGTCAGGTGAAGTGGCCAGCAATGGCCTTGGCAATCCCCTCCCCAAACAAACCAGCTGAATTACAAGCTGCTCCCGGCAAGTCGCAAGCTCCCAGCACAAGTGAATGGTTGAACGGCTGAGCAGTGCACTGTGCGGCCGGCTGTCCAATGAGACGGGGGGAGGGGGGGCTCTAAGACCAGGGCCCTGTGTCGCCTGCCACAGCCCCAGCAAGGGTGGGGACAGGGTGATCTCAATGAAAGGCCCCGAAGGTTTCCGTGCAGGCCACAGACACTAGGAGGCTGAGGCCGGGCAGCTGTCTGTCTCAGGAGGGAGACAGTGCGCGACATCCCAGCTTCTAGGGGAACCACTGGGCGTGCCATACTACTGGGCCGGCCACGGCAGGCTCCACGCCCTGACCCGGGGGCCTCACGGAGGCTCAGCCGGGGCTGCCCACACCCCACGGACAGAGCATCCTCCATCCGTGGGGCTGCTGCGACCCAGGCTCTCGGTCTGTTTAGTTTTCCGCAGGCGAAACCTTCCCGCCACCGAACGCTTCCCTTTTCACCCACATATCCTGGCACCTCGAGCCAAAAGAAGGCCTTCGTGGCTTTCCAGTTCTCCGAGAGACATTATTTCTAAAACTTCCCAGGAGAATGGAGAGGCGGCCGGGCCAGCGCTTGCAGAGCGTTGTGCAACCTTTTTAAGAACTTGAGTAACTGCACTGTTTGCTGAGTGCAGATTTTGTTATCTATGTGCACGGCTAATGAAGCCGTCTCTCAGCTTTTTAATTGGTTGCACAATATCCCCCTGCAGCATCTGTAGTCGGCGACTCCTGCCTGTGAGCTTTGCTTATGTACTTATACGCTGGTATTTCTTTCAGATGATGCAAATAAAAATTTTATCTGTGCTGCGTGGATAGACAGAATAAATTATACACAGCTGTGACATATCAGAGTGCACTTTATGGAGTGATCTTGTTGACAAATCATAAAAGCAGATCCTGCCCGATGCATACATTCAAAAGATATGACCTTGTAAAATACACAGCGTGCATGCATTTTGTTTTTCATAATATATGTTTGGACATCAACGAAACTCAGAGAATGTGGATAACTAGTCTTGGGGAGGCACTTCCAGTGTTTGCTATTGGGTAACCTGCTTGCCGCTGACCAATGGCCGGTTTGGATCAGCTCACACTGGAAGAAAGCACAGTAGGGATTCCAATTTCTAGCACCGTTACCTCTGTGCCATTTCCTCTGCCTTCCCACGGGATCTGTGTGTTCCCTTTGCTTGCTTCGTCTTCTGGGTTTGTCATCTTCAGCCCTGACAAAGGCTGGCTAAGAAGCAACCTACAGGCCCAGTTCCTCAGGCCAGAATCTTTGCAGCAATGGCTTTTAAGATGACAGAAAAGCCGGCAAAGATGACATCCCCTCCCCCAACACAGCGACTGTAGATCCTCCCCGACGTGAGTCATCCAGGGCCCGGCTGCCTGCACGCGTCCTGCCCCGTTCTTGCTCCAGCCCACACTACTCTGGCCAGCTCACGAAGGGCAGTGCTAGGGGAGAGGACCAGGTTCACATCACCCTGACGCCCGCTCCCCAGAGTCGAGGACCGATGGCTCTGCTCTGAGGTGCACACAGGGATGGGGGACGTCGTGGAGCCGCGAGACCCGCCCCCATCCTGACTGACTGCCCTGCATCGAAGTCTGCCGGTGGGGTCCCACCCGCACAAGCTGAGAACCACACTGTCCCCCCTCACCCTGCCCGAGCGTTCAGGAAGCTCCGACACGTTAAAGCAACGCGGGCTTTCAGAAGGCTCGGCGGCTGGAGCCAGTCTAGGCGTTCAGCATCCGAGCTGCTGGGCCGTGAGGCAGGGATTGTCTGGGTCGCGCTCCCGGGGTGCAAACCACAACTACACACTCACAGCTAGAAGACGCCAGCTTTAGCTCTAAGTTGACGTCCACCCGTGGCACCCACGGCCACTGGAGAGACTGTGCTGAGATCAGCAGAGGCTCAAACATCACACCTGGAGCTCTGGCTTTACAGGGAAATGATTCCCTACCCCTCCTAGAGCTAAGGCCTGGCAATTAATCCGAGCTGGCAAATCAGGACTGCGATAAATATTCTTTCGAAAATCTGATGGGAGAAAAGCTGAGCTGCAAAGGCCCCAGAAGTGCATCGTTTTTATTGTCCCAAACATCCAAGACCGAAAGAAAACTTTGGTGAGCTGAGCGACTGTTTTCTGGCCATAGGATGGTGATGCTCTTATAACAACAGAAGATTTCCTTGGCCCAGCTTCACGTCTTCGATCTTAAAGAACAACACCATTCTCTCCTCTCATCTGCACATTCTCTCCGTGGAAAAGGGTGATACCATTTTAAAACCACAGAGCTCAAGAATCCTCAACAGAACCAGAGGCAAACGTTAACCTGAGAAGAGTAACTGCACAGTGGAGAGAACTTTCACACCGTCTGCAGCCCCACGAGCAGAATCCCCATCAACAGTGGTGAGGCAGGGGCTGGCACACACCCTGGACACGATGGGCTGCGAGTGGCAGTTTACGTCTGCGGGCTTCTTCCCCGAGCCCATCACTGTGGTCTAGTCTTTTTTTTTTTTTTTTTTGACAGGCAGAGTGGACAGTGAGAGAGAGAGATAGAGAGAAAGGTCTTCCTTTGCCGTTGGTTCACCCTCCAATGGCCGCCGTGCTGCAGCCGGTGCACCGCGCTGATCCAATGGCAGGAGCCAGGAGCCAGGTGCTTTTCCTGGTCTCCCATGGGGTGCAGGGCCCAAGCACCTGGGCCATCCTCCACTGCACTCCCTGGCCACAGCAGAGAGCTGGCCTGGAAGAGGGGCAACGGGGACAGAATCCGGCGCCCCAACCGGGACTAGAACCCGGTGTGCCGGCACCGCTAGGCAGAGGATTAGCCTAGTGAGCCGCGGCGCCGGCCCGTGGTCTAGTCTTGAGACAAATCCCCAAGACGTGGTGCGTCCTGAAACTGGCAAAGCTCTCAAAAGCCAGGATGATCCGACACAAGAGCCCTAGGACACGTGACAGCTACACGTACGGGGGTCCTGGGTGGGACTGGGGGCCCGATAATGCTCACCAGGAGAGCACCAAAGAACAATGAGTGAGAATAAACTGAATCCCAAATGTTACACCAAAGCCGCTTCCTTGTAATAGCCACAGCAAGGTAAGACGTCTCAGGAGCAGGGAGCTGGAGTGCAGCGCACAGTCAGCCCTCCGTGTTTTTGGGTTCTACAGACGCAACTAACTGCTGATCAAAAATATCTGAAAAATGTGTCTGCCCATAGAGACCTCTGCTGCCATCCAGCCCTGCACAATACAGCAATTCCCCAGAGCCCACACGATGCCCAGAGTAAGTATTGTAAGTCACCCAGAGATGACCGCACACAGGAGGATGTGTGGAGGATCTCTGAAGAGTCTACACTGTTGTACACAGGCGCTTGAGTAGCCAAGGTGCCTGGGACCAGGCTGGTGTTGTGGCACAGCAGGTTAAGCCTCTGTCTACAATGCCAGATCCCCTACAGGAGCGCCGGTTCGAGTCCAGGCTGCTCTGCTTCTGATCCAGCTCTCTGCTGCTGCACCCAGGAAAGCAGCGGGGGATCCCGGCCCAGGTGCTTGGACCCTGGAACCCCGTGGGAGATCCAGATGGAGTTTCTGGGTTCTGGCTTCCGCCTTGCCCGGTCCTGACGGTTGTGGCCACGTGGGGACTGAACCAACAGATGGAAGATCTCCTTCTCTTTGCCTGGTCTCTGTCACTCTGCCTTTCAAACAAATAAACTAAGTCTTAACAAACAAACAAAAAAGATTTCTGGGGCTAATGCCCTCCAGAGACTGAGGACCAACCACACCTGGAAAGTATCTGGACTGCCTTGGACCACCTACTCCAGCCTCCAAGCTGCTCGATCCATTTAAACAAAACCTAGAAACTAAGTCTATTAATTATCATTTTCCAAATGTCATGGGAATGTTGTGAGGATAATCATCCTTCCCTGGACCTCCCCAGTGTCAAGAGCTTCAGAGACGCTGGCTCTCACTCGGGACTCCAACCATCAGCAGACTGGGGTGCTCGCCCTGCACCTCCCTCCCAACACTGCTACTTGGTCAGATGAAAGAAAAAGAAGAGGCAGTATTTGCAGTCCAGCTAAAAGCATAAAGAAGTCTGGGTGTCCTTGACTATAAAGAAGGCAGAAGCGTAAGAAAATAGTTGATCCTTAAGCCATTGAGAAGTCTTTCCTCTCCAGAACATTCAAGAGAACACGGAAACAAGTTGAGACGAAAGCTTGAACGCGCTTGCGAGACTGGCTCTAGAACAGGGGAGAAGGGAAAGGGAGACGCACCACTCGGTTTGCAAAGGGGACATCGAGTGACCACCACACAGACACAGTGATAACCCGGTGTGGAAACAGAACCTAGAGTGTCTAGCCGGCAGGCTAACCCTGGGACGGCGGACGGGGGCCTGGGACAGGGAAGCAGTCACAAGGCGAGATCTGCACCCACCCCTACTGTGCATGGCCTGGGGCAAAGTGACCCACAGGCCCTGACACTCAGAGCCCGTGGGAGCCAGGCAAGGCCAGGACCAGTGTCCACAGTGGTCACCAAGGGGCTCCACTGAGGCCATGGACACAAAAGTCACTGTGGATGCCTTTTAGTTCAGTTTCTCTGTTTCATTTGCTTTTTTTGTTTGTTTGTTTTTAAATAAGTGTTTGGAAAGAAAGATAGCAAAACACTCTTGTTGGTTTTCTTTGAACACTGGGGCTATGATTCATTATGTTTTACTTCTTTATGTCTGTATTTCTGATTTTTCTATAACCAGCACATAATACTTTTAGGACAGAAAACAATGAACTTCAAGACAAATCAATCATTTGGACTCCTGACTACAAACCCACAGTCTTCCTGGCACCATGGCTACGCAGCCCTGGGCTTGCTAAAGGCAAAGCCCATTTGGAAATAAAAGCAATCAAGTACCCTGGGACAATTGCAATTTTGAGAAGATGTTTTATATGTCATCTTGAAATTCAAACGTAGCTAGTTATAATTTCCGTAAGTGTTCCAAGTGAACTCACACCCCAGCACAACTCGTCTCCAACACACAAACCACCTGCCGGCCCACAGTGCCTCCGTCTGTAACGGGCAGAGCAGTCGACGGCGCTAACTCTTTGTCTCTACCACTTCACGGGTCAAGGGGAGCTAATACAAACCCCATTCCACGAACTGGGGGGCTCAGCCTCAGCCACAGAGCCCAGCAGGTTCTTCCCCATGTTGTCCAACAACAAATGGCAAGTCCAAGCCCTCTGCATGGGCTTATTTCCAGGAATATAAAGAGAATAGATTTCATGGATTTCACAGATACAGTTCTAAGAAAATAGCTTCTCTCTCGTAGGGACGACATGCTGGTAACACTTCAGGGGAGGTGGGCGGGGGGGGTGGGGTTGTCAGAATTCTTCCAAATTTACCTTTCAAGAGATGATTGGGAGGGAAAATGGAATGAAAAAAAATGGACATTAACAGCAAAAGAGCAAGAACGGAACGTAGTTTGTTCCGTTCAGTCTGGTAACTATACTAACTGCCGCTGAACGACAATGAGAAATGACCCACTAGGCGCCCTCAGGAAGCCCCGCGCCTCTGAAAAGCCCTCACACACCCGCTGCAGCCGCCTCTCCAGCTGAACACCTCCCAGGACTCAGCTCTTGGCCATCTTCGCCTCTGCCCTTGCTGTTCCCCAGAGACCTCATTAATTTTTAAGCCCGTGGTCCTGAATCAATATTTTCCCACTGGCCATCTCCCCCAAGTTCAGTCGATACATAAGATCTACTAGACATGCTAATTTTCAGAATCGGTCACCATGACCACCTCAAATGCAACATGTGTAAACCCCCAAGGATTCCATCTCCATCTTCTAGCCAAAGAGCAAAACATTTCCTATCATTCGCTCCATACTGACACCACTCAACCTTTAAGGAAGTGGCTTGGCCGGGCGACTTCCTCAACA